AAAACTTCAATTGAATTTCAATAAAGTTAAAGGCATGGCCTCACTGTTAATATTTAAAAAAAAAAATAATAAAATGTTAAGAAAATGATTGTTAGTAAAACAACCCCAACTTGTGCAAAAGCATAGCAGATTAAGTATGTTCTATTACAAAGCCCTTCAGAAGGATTGATATTTTGTAATAGCATAACAGAAGCACCAACTTTTAAAGTTAATCTATATAGAGGTAAGCTACTAACAGATAATGTGTTTAAAAATTTAATCAGATAAAGATGTTCCTAATTATTAATATTAGATTCTAGTATATTATCAATGCTATCAATGCTTAGATATTCAATTTTTTGGCCAGAATATAAGTTTATAATGCATAAATTAATTAAATTAATATCACTATTTTTGGGAGCAAGAATTCCACATTCTACAAAGTAGCTAGAATCATATATATATGTTAAAAGATTGGAGTATATGAAATCTATTAGATCATGTAAATTTTGTAAATAGATACGAATATTATTAGAAAGCTTAATATAATTATTTCTTTCTGCATTTCATTCAATGCGATTTTTTCCAATTTGAAGAAGCCAATTTGCAAAATTTTAGTGTTCAGTTGCATCTTTAATATTTACAGATTAGCTTAAATGCATAGTTATCATTAATTTCATGATAGTAATATAGTGCTATAAAGAAGATTATAAGATACATGAGCCAACTATATCTTCTCTTTTTTCTTTAGGTACAACAGACTAAATTTGTCAAAAAATCACCTTCAAATACAATTACTTTGGCTCTGAAAGGTTGAAATTGTAATCCAAAATCCAAAGCTTTTATTAAGTCTTTAAGAGTTTAGTCAACAGCTTCAATTGTATAATGATTCATTATTGAGGCTTCATCCCAAACTATAAGACTAGTTTGTTGTAATAGAATAGCATGTTCTGTTCTATATGAAATATTATATGTAGAATCTTCATCTAATTCAAAAGGAATTTTGAATCACAAATATGCAGTAGAACCTTCTTCTAACAAAAGAACTGCATTTCCAGATAAAGCTATTGCAAGGGCTATCTGTTCAGAAGACCTGATTTTATCTAATAATGCACTATACAAAAATGTCTTATCTGAACCTCTGGGTCTATCTATAAAAAATGCTGCAGGAGTTGCATTTTCTATAGTGGTAACTACTGAATCAAATATATTATGTTGTTTAGAAGTTAAGAGTAAATAAGTTTCTTTTATTCTGTTTTTTAATAGCTTTGCATCATAATGTAATTCTTGAGCAATTAAATAGTTAGATGTAATAGAGGCATCAAGAAGTAGTGTTAGAATAGGCATATTGGAAAAATCTTCAAGTCACATATTATTTCTAATTAAAATTGACTCAAGATGATGCAATGCAAAATTATATATGTCAGTGGTAATGAAGCTATATAAAGAATTATGATCAGCTTCAATACTGACTTGATAAATTATATCATTACTAAAATGTAAGATGTACTTTTCTTAAAGTAATTCAGAATGAATAAGATTACAAAAAATAAAAATAGTAGCAAACAAATTACGCATCTGTGTTTTGAAATTAAGGTGACTGGCTTCATTCAAACAATCATTCTATTCATTGTCATTTTGTAACATTCTAAAAGCTTCACATGCAGCTTTGAAAGTATCATATTAAACATTATTGATTGTTCTAATATGTTCAAAAGAAGTTGCACCTTTTATTACATTTAATAACATTCAGAAGTAGTAGCATTTGTTAGCTTTAGGATAGACAAAGTATATTTGTCCAATAGTGTTTTCTCTTTGCCTTGGTTTTTATTCTTTTAGCTGCTTATTATGTACCCAATAGGTAGGAAAGTCTGCATAAATAAGTTCATATGCTTCAGAAAATTTTTAATTAGCTTTGAACCATGCAGTTAAAGTGGTCTCAGAATTGAATAAGTTATTAAGTAATTCTTGCAAAGTATTCTTATTACAAAAAGACACTATGTGATTTCCAGATAAATGAACTTAAAGTCTTATAATGTTGGATTTTTTATTATATAATTTATAATAAAATAACCTCTAAGCCACTTCTGAAGCAAAAACATATTGTGTGTCTAAATAAAGGTAAATTTCATTATTATTTCTTATCTGATCAGTTCACTGTGATGTTGTTATTTCAACAGTTGCATGATCATGGCCCTTATAGACATATTTAAATAAATATTTAACAGCAAAATAGAAGAGCATATTTCGATGTTTATATGCACATTATATTTAGTTGCATGATAGAGATTATGTGGAACTACCCATCTGTTATCTAATTGCATATCTCTAACTTCAATGAATTGAGCATTATTGTAACATTGATAAATTGGATACTTAGCATTATTTATAAATGTACTGTTGCAAAAATCACATAGATATTTTTTTATATATTTTTCATCATTTATGCATAGAACATTAGGATTTGCAGAACCACATAGACCATGTATTATCATTTATTTAACAGTTTCATATGCTGCAAGATGAATGTCTTTATCAAGAAGCTCTGCTGATACAATAGCATTATAGTTGTCAATAGTTTTCAGCTTATAATCAGAATTAAGAATTATGAGAATATGTGCATATGGAAGACCATGTTTCTAAAATTTAATTATATAAACATAGCCTATAACTAATTCAAAAATATTATTTTTTATAATATCTTCGATTAAAACTTTTAGTTTCAAATTGAAAACTCTTGCGGTAAGATTGGGATGATCAGATGCTGTTTGATTATTGAGAAGCTCATTTGTAATTTCTAACCATGCTGGATTACATGTAAAGGTAATAAAAAGGTCAGGTTTACCTAATATGTATACAATTGCTATTGCATTCTGATATAATTGATGCATTTAACAGGGCCTAACAGTAAAGCTCAAAGAAAGTATGATTTGCCTGCCTATATTTGCTGCTATTAAATCTCAAAGTTGTTCATTCTGTACAGCTAAGGCATCTTGTAAACCACTATAAAGCTTTACTTGAATTTTTTGTTGATTATGTTTTAAATAATTAAGATGATTTTGTTTTACAATTGCATATGTATTGACTATATATTGCTGAAAAAGATGGCCAGCAAGATGTAGAGATAATCCTTCTCTAGGTCTACCTACTTGTAGATAATATGCATAATATTGCATCATAGTAACATACTTTTGAGCTCTATCACTATTTTTAATATCTTCAATATTATTATTTATTTTTTGATCTTTTTCAGTATTCAAGTATAATAAGTGGGTCTCATCACAAATTAGAATTTTTAGATGCCATCTGTCCTCACCTCTGGGGAATAGAAATATATAATGTAATGCAGCATATGCTCTATGTAGTTCTGATATTCACTATAACTCTTTAGTATGTGAATATAGAATAATATTGCAATTGCATATTTCAGTTTCATTGCTATCTACTAAAATTGTTGCAATTTTGGATGAATTTGGAATGTTATAGTGGCATGAATCTGTTATTCTGAAATCTGTAATTAGCATTGTTAGGTTTTGAGCTGAATTTTGAGATAGCATAATTCCAGCCTGTTGAAAAACTTGAACATATAAATTAATATTATGTAACATATTTTGAAGCTCAGTAAGAGTTAACTCATCTAAACTTGATACAGCATTAAGCCTATTTTGAATTTCATTATTCATATCATAAACATATATTTGCACATATAAAGGATGTTTTAAATTTGGAGGAGGAAGAAGAGAACTGATGTGGTGATATATTTCACCATGTATACAAAAGCTATAAGGACCTTTTATTCTAGTAATATGATTATCAATTTTTGCTTTTATTGAAGTAAAAGCTAGTGCAGCATTGTAAGCATGTATTTTTTGGCAAAATTCTTGACTTGTGTATTAGTGTCAGTTAAATAAGAGTGTAATAAAAGTAGTGGATTTTGAAGATTAGGTAATACAACTTTTTTTTATGTATAGCAAGTTTCAAAAATAGGCTAACATCTTAATGAATTCATGCATTGTTTATCTATCTATTTTAGTGTACTGCAATGAATACATGAAATATTTATTTTACCAAGATCATGTCAGTTTAGCCTACTTGAATCAAAAGAATATACTCTAGCCTTTGATGCTGAAGTTACTTGTATAGTAGAAATAGTACTATTAACTGCTAAAGGTTTATTCAGAATAATGTTTTCATGAGAATATGATGGTAAAGGGTGCCTATTAAAAATAGTTGAAGTAAAAGCATTAGTATCTGTAGATAGTGAAGCAATAGGTAAAAGAGGTTTCTGCATTTGTACAAATAAAAAAAGAGCTGCATGTGAAGATATTCATGCATATGATTCTTTAGATTATCTTTTGTGATATTCCATTTGCTCTGGTGTTTGATTAGCTCTTATTTGTACAGCTGCCTCTCTTCACAACCTAAGTCATTATTCTTCATGGGTTTCATTAGTAAATAAATCCATTATATTAGTGCTAATATTATATTGTGCTATAAAAAAAGTATATATAATTTGCTGATATTAATAAATAAACGAAGTTAAAGCAATGCATGAAAAAGTGCAAAACTATTTAAAAAAAAGAGAAACTAAATGTAACTACTTATCTATAGATTGCAAAGTGTCAGTTCATGTTAAGGTGTAACATAATACAAAAAAAGCATTGTCTACTTTCCTTATTTGAAAGATTTATATTAATTAAACTTCTACAATAAGCATATCGATGTCAGAAAACACTAACAAAAGTGCTGTTATACAATTTTACATAAATTTTAATTTTACATTACATTTAATTTTCATTATGTTATATATAAAGTAGTAGTTTTTATAAAAGCTCTGGTAGCATTATTGCAACATTTGATTTGAATGTATGATCCTCTAAATTGCCAAAATTTTGAACTTGAAAACTAATGCTATATGTTTAAAATTATAATTACATGAAAATTATATTTATCCAAACTTACACAGAGTTACATTAAATTATGTAAAATTTTCAATTAAGGGGGTTCTCAAGTTTCAACATCAATGTAATTGGCTCATAATCTTAATTATACACAACTATAATCATATTTACATATAATGAAACAAATAAGCAAATTAAGAAGCAATCAAAGTTTGCTCAAATGTTATTTTTTATGCGATTAGCTAATAAACATGATGATGCTCATTTACTATAATCAATTAAAATAATAACTGCAATAATATTTTACCAAATGTCATTATCACTATGTTTATTTTGTTGATATTTAGTTGTTGCATAATAAGGTTACTGATAAAGTTGCTTGTGTGATCTTTTTGAAAATGCAATTAATTATAAATTTTGCCAAGCCAAAGATTAAAAAAAGGTGGTCTGTCATAAACTATTTAGAAATTTTAAAATATTTATAAATTGTAATGATAAACTCAAATATCATTTTTTGATTAATAAAAATATAATAAACTTTATTAAATTACAATGTTTATTTAAATATTCATTATGATGTTAAACATATTTGACATGCTTAAAATATTTTTTGCTAAGTAAAATTTATTCTTTGATGCTTTTTGTCCTATTGATTAAGGTGCTTGAAAATGCCCTAAGTGTGAACAGCATATACTGTATCTTTTTATTAGAATAATTTATTAAAATAAAATATTTTAATACTTTAGTTTACTAATAAGGTCTTTAAGAACATCATATCATGCAAACAACTAAAAAAAGTAATATGTTCATAAATATATATGTAATATGAAACATATATTATGATTGGTGCTTGCATATGCAGTACTGTTACACTAATATGCAAAGGTCATCCAACATGCAAAATCCAATTATTTTATTTTATTTTTTTTAAATATTAAGGTAAGTACTTGCAATCTAGGATTTTATTGATAGTATATTTGGCTAATGATTGCTTTATAACCAAAGAAGCCAATCATAGAGAGAGTATACAACTAGCCATTTATACAACTTTAGTCATTGTCTAATTTAAGTAGTTCACCTGAAGGTTTTACACTAGCTGCTATACCTGGAACCCACTTGTAG